AAAACAAAACCGAGCAGCCAAAGCTGGCATTGATGCCATAAAGGGTAAATTTGTGCTGCTTCAGAAGGTTGTGCACAAGCAAACATACTTAGTGTGACCCAGCTGCACATTCCTGGGAAAAGAATTTGAAGTCAGGATACAAAACGGGATCACAGCCATTTGCTGTGAATTCCAACAGACGCTTTCATCTGTGGGTGATGCATGAATGTGTTTCATTTTCTAAGGCCACTCCTCCCATGAAGCTATGTCCAAGATTAACAAGCTTTTTCAAAAGGCTACTACCTTCAGTGACGTGGGATCTCACCTCTACAAAACAAAGCAATTTCTGCCCAATTAACTTGGAAATCAACAAATACACCAAAAACAATTTTTCAATTTGCTAAACCAGAGTTCAAGAGCATGGATAACATACTGATTACACAGAGGGGCGCCCAGATCCAAGATTAGACCTCAGTTGCCAGGTATGCTTATGGCATTTTCCTGCAAAAATAGTGAAAAGGATACGTTTCTTATTGACTGCCACGTTCCTACACTGCAAGCCAAAATGTCTCATTATTTTAATGTATTTTTAAGGTATTCTCTGCATCAAAATCTGTGCTCCTGGGTTCTATGGGGATGCCTTAGGAGTTTCGGGCTTCTTCCACTCCAACGCTCTTCAATCTCAAAAGCTCTAATTTTATCCTTAAAAAAATGTGTGTGTGTGTGTGTGTGTGAGAGAGAGAGAGAAAGAGAGAGAGAGAGAAAAAGAGAGTGTTGGGACAACGTATAACAGATTCATTGCCGGGAGAAAACTGGGAGTGAGTTACTGCTAAAAGAAGGTTGGGAAACCATCTTTTGGCACTAGTAGAAGTTAGTTCCAAGTGTTATCTGTTTATATATAGTCCCTTTGTAATTACAGAGATATTGTGTCCAGATTTCCTAGTGTCCAGGGCATTCCTTGGAATGTCTCCAGTTCCACTACCCTCTCATTTGACCTTCAGTCGTGCATTTCCAACTGCCTATTGGAAATCATCCCTTGGTCTCCTCAGACTCAAATCATCAACTCCACCATTCGTCTGTCACCTCTTCCATTTTCTTAGTCCTTGGCAGTGACCCCAATATTCTCTCAGGCACCCGGCTTCAAACGTGTGGAGTAACATTTTTTTACTCATCCTTCCTATCCAGTCAGCCACCAAGTTTGGCTTGATTTCTTTTCTTCTAAATCTTGCTCCCACCCCCATTCAAATCTGACCAGAGCATCTGATGCCTGGGATATCTCCCTCAGCTTCCTAAGTGGCCTACACTCTTCATTCTTTTCAAGTCGAACTCCTCCTTTCAAGCTAATTCTACTTAAATGCTCCCTTTCATCTTGGTACTTCTCGATACACAACCTTGTAATGGCTTCTAGGAGGTTTTGAAACCAAGTCTGAACGATTCTGTTTTGCTTTCAAGGCTCTGCAAAATCATTTGGCTCTACTCTTTTCAGGTTAGGCCAGTCTCCTCCCTGTCATATAAAAATATTCCTCTCCCAGCGTCTGTGCCTTTATATGAACATGTTAAATTGACCTGACCCAAAAGCTTTTCTCTCGTCTTGGCTCACCTGTTACCCCATGTTCTTCACATAGCCAGGGAACTCAGTTCCTTGAAAAAAAAAAAAAAAAAAAACACTTGTCTTTAGACTTTTGCACTTGCTTCCTCCTCCACCCTTGGTTTCTTCAAACTGAAGGCACCTCCTTTGTGAATGCTTCCTTTCTCCTGCACTAATCACATCTCCTTTGAGCTGCTGTTGTGTTCTATATATACTTCTGTTATAGCCTTTATTATACAATGTTGCACCTTTTTTACTACATTCCTGTCTGATTGCCTTTTCGATTGTGAGCTACCCTCTCAGAATAGTTTTAGACTTGGTTTCAAAACAAGGTCCCTGACCTCCAATAGCTCACAGTTGTTTCGTACTCCCAGTGAGTCACTTTAGTAATTCAATAGGTATTTGTTGAATGATTGAATGAATAAATCCTAAACCCTAAATCCTCTCAATCTTTCTCATCCTACATGTCGGAAGTCTTCTTTGATCTTTCTAGTCCTCCATCCCTTCTCTGAAGCCTGATAGTTCTTATGGTTTTGTACTATACAAACTTGGATGATTTCTTTAATTGAATCACAAGCTCCTTGAGGTCAGGAACACCGTCTTATATTGTCTCTGTCACTGCAATAATCAAAGTGCAGAGCACATAGTAAAAATATATTTGCTGTCCAATTAATTAGTTTCGTAAACTCTGGGCTTAAGACAATAATGACAGCTAATAGAAAATTCTAAACTTTTTGGAATATAATTGCTGCCATAAATTAAATACTAGTTCATTCAGAAAATATTTAATGAACACCTAGAAATTTTCTGGCACCAAACCAATGGTTGGAATACAGGCATGAATTCTATCAGGAAAGAAATTCTTCCAGGTAAAATTAGTATTGCTACATAGAAGCTGTGTACATTTTTTTCACTTTAAAATTTGTAAATTTGTATCTGGTTGATTAAGTAGTTTTTGAGGGACCACTAGATTACTTTGTTTTGGGGGGGTGGGTATCTTATAATTCTTCCTGGCTGATTTTTCTCACAAGAATACTGAATTCTTTTTTGTATCTGAGATTGTCACAGTCAAGAAATGGGGAGAATCAGTCCTGAACGATCTGGTATAGTTTTTCTGGGTTTTTTGGGTCCATTCTATGTTTAGAAATTAGTGGGTTGGACAAGACTAATCTAAGTAAGTTGTGTGTGTATTATAACTGAGTACTCACCAGCTTACTTAGCCTGACCAAATGTCACTGAGTGATTTCCATCATGGTTCTGTGATGACATCTCACCGGTATTACCAACAATACTTCCCGGGAGTGTCATCAGGCATGCTTAGAATAGAAGGTTAGATACTGATCTGTGTCATATAGTTTCACCCCTTTGTCATATCTTAGGCCATATGACCGAATCCTGATTTAAACTGATTGAGTTTCTTGTTTTCCTGTTTCTTTATGCATTAGTTTACTTAACATTTCTTAGTGATTACTATGGGCCAGAAATAAACAAAGGAGATATGAAGGTGTTCAGGATACAAAGGAGAACCCCTGCCCTCAAGGAGCTCATTTGCATAACTGGATAGTAGTGTACATGACATTGTAGAAATAATATTTAACATTGCATTCTGTTGCCTTTGAAAACCAAAATTCAATATATGAGTATGTCTTTGGGTTAAAATCTCTTGAATCAATAGGTAAATATAAATAAAACTATTATTATTAATACTATTACTGTCCTATAATATGAATACTGTGTGAGAAAAAGACGAGACCCTATTTACACACCTTGAATAAATGTTAAATAGTAATGAAGTCATTCTACTAGTAAATAAATTGTTAGGAAGGCAAAGTGATTGTTACAAGTCTCTAAATACTAGTAATTCTCTACAAAAGCAACACACTTAAAGCTCTTTATTCACATATTATTACATTGTAATATTAGAGTTTGCAAATGTCACCCTGGGGCTGTGGTCAGATCCAGGTTGTGGGACCTGAAGCTCAGATATGTGAAGGGCCCCTTTAAAAAATGAAATAAAACAAGACCACAAAATTAGGCATATTTTGGCAAATGAGGAGCCCCGAGGCTTAAGCTTCATTTGCTTCAAAGAAAAGCTAACTGGTAGGCACATAAAAAATTGATATCAGGGGCTCCTGGGTGGCTCAATAGTGAAGCGGCTGCCTTTGGCTCAGGTTGTGAACCCAGGGGTCCTGGGATGGAGCCCCGTGTTGTGCTCCCTGCTCAGTGGGAAGCCTCCTTCTCCCTTTCCCAGTCCCCCTGCTTGTGTTCTCTCTCTCTCTCTCTCTCTTTTTCTCGCTGTGTCTCTCTCTGTCGAATAAACAAAAAGATCTTAAAAAAAGAAAAAGATTGATATCCTCTCTACTCATTAGTCATATTAGGGAAAGACTTGGGCATTAGGGAGAATAGTATTCATTAAGCTGTTATGAAAAAATTTATAATAAATATAATACATGTAAAATGAATCTTTAAATTGATTTTACTTAGCTATGAACTTATTCTATCTTTATTCTATTAGTCTTTATTCTATCATTTGGCTTTCTTTAAAATTGAAAAAATACCTCAGGTATTCATTGAGTATAAGTCTTAAATACTTTCTTGTTTTAAGCTTCAGGCTGTAGACTTATGCTGTCCAGTACCTTAGTCACTGACCACATGTGGTATTGGGCACTTGAAATGTGGCTGGTGCAACCTAGGTCCTGAATTTCAAATTACATTTAATTTTAATTAATTTACATTTAAAAACTGATAATTTTGCTGTTATGGAATTTTGAGGTATGTTTGGAACAACTTGAGTATATTAAGCTACTTTTTCAACTGTAAACGTTATGAAATCTAAATGCAGATTAAGTATTTCCTAGGAAAATTAAGCAGTCAAATTGAGAAGTGCTGTTCTAAATGTAGGATTCACACTGGGTATCTTATTAATAGTTTATATTGATTACCTGTTGAAATAATAATATTTTAATATATTGATAAAATAATACATATTTTAAAAGCTTATCTCACCCAGTTCTTTTTACTTTTCGAAAATGTGACTACTTGAAGGGGCGCCTGGATGGCTCAGTGGGTTAAGCCTCTGCCTTCGGCTCAGGTCATGATCTCGGGGTCCTGGAATCGAGCCCCACTTCGGGCTCTCTGCTCAGCGGGGAGCCTGCTTCTCCCTCTCTTTCTGCCTGCCTCTCTGCCTGCTTGTGATCTCTCTCTCTGTCAAATAAATAAATAAAATCTTAAAATAATGTGTCTACTTGAAAAATTTCAATTGCATAATTTGGGTAATATTATATTTCTATTGGAGAGTGCTACATTAGACTCTGACTTTTTCCTCAAAAAGAGTACATAGTTTTTGAAACCACATACTTAAAAGACAAATATGTGAGAGGATCAGGGTAGATGGAAAGCAGTTACCAAGCATTGCTAATGAGATATTTTTTACCTTACTTGGGGTGGTGGAATTCCTACCACTATGCAATCCAACTGTACTCTGGTTCCTTCTGGAACTTCTCTGCTCCGTAACTTTTGAGTGAACCGAGGAGGTTGCCCCAGAGGTTCTTCATAATACAAAGATGAAGGTGAAGAGCCTGGAGTGGTGTCTCCACCAGCCGCCTCACTGGCAGCCTGCTCAGCTTCGCGCCTCTTAGCTTCCTGCCTTTCAAGGGCGTGATTCACTTCATTATCCCTAGTATCTGCAGGGATAGGGATGGGAATAGAAGATCTTTCTCTTCTTTCTGAGATATCTGACAAACTGGAGCTATTTTCCTGCGTAAGTTTGTTTTGAGATTCCAGTTTACTCTTGTGGTTTTTGCAGGCACGAGGTCTAATCCTTTTGGAGCTATGGGCTTTGAAAAGGGAGGACAGCTCTTCAATGAAATCGGCAGCTTTATTTAAGAATACTTTTTTGGACTGGGTTTCAGAGCTATACTGCGGCCTTTTTGCCTCATGGGGACTCTCTTTAGAGCTGGTAGGACCTCGAGAGTTATCCTGACAGAAGTTGGGGTCAAAACTTGATTTAGGTGAGTGTTTCATTTGATCAGATGAAAGACGTTTTCTGGCTTGAGCTTCATCTGCTTTCTCCAAAGGGTCGTGATTGATGGCCAGTCTTGCCAGATTGACACTTTCATCTAATTCTTCTTGGCTCAGGAAGGCTGAAAGATCTGGAAGGTCATCTTGGCCTCCTCCTCCTTCAGCAGCTCCAGAAGGATTGCCAAAATGGAAAGGGTTGGAGGACGGTTCTGCTCGACTTCTCTCATTGTTTCCCCGGTGTCTAGTTTCTGCTAAATAGCTCTCTCTTAGAAGCTGAGATATGGAAGTAGAAGCTTCTATGCTGTCGTCTTGCATGCTGTCACAAAATAATAATAATAATAACAAAAAGTTCGATCATTTCTAAAGAATAATAGGTCTACAAGCATGATGGAGTTTTAAGATCTTAAAGTTTAAAATAAAAAGTTGCCTAATTTTGATACTTCTACAAAAATTACATTAAAGACTTAAAGATGAACCTCAAATTGTAAAATGAAAATGAACTGAATGAGACTGCCCTGAAATATAAAATAAAAACATGGGTAATAACCACTCTATTAAGTTCTTTAATACAAGTTCAATTGTGAAAGCTATGATGTAACCATAGTGATAGGAAATACAATTTCTGAGCACAGTTTTGATGATATCTATAAAGGGCTTTTAGTTATAAAGACCTTTCCTACACAGAGATTTGCTGTCCATACTCTCCCCTTTACCTTGAATGCAATAAAATAATAGGCATTAAAAAATACGGACAACAACAGTTTTCTGTTTCATTCATCAAAAGCTCTACATAAACTGACATTATCTCCTATGGTTTCAAGACTTTTTCACTCAGCTTAACCCACACTGGTTTCTTATTATTTCTGAAATATTCTAAAGTTACATCTGAATGCCTCAGAACATTTGACTAGCTTGCTTTTGCCTGTACCTGGAGCGTTCTTTCTGACAATGCTATGTGACTCACTTCTCACTTCCCTCAATTATCTACCTATTCTCTCCTCAGTGGTTCCTTCTTTATGGCCCAACATAAGACAGAAATACCTTTCCAGCCTATCCTTTTACACAGTTTGGTTTTCCCAGTACCACTTATCTTCATAAGAAATACCTGGCATGCACATTTTTAGCAGCTTGTCATTTTCCTCCCACTAAAATACAACTTCCACCAATGCAAGGACTTTGATCCCAAAAAATAATTGTTAAACTAATGAATAAATTCTTCTTTGAAATGGGGAAAAAAAAGATATAGGTAACATAATCCATTTAATTACTGAAAACATCAATTTGATCCAGTTCATGAAAATAAATAATGCTTTGGTTTTTGACTGGAGACAAGTTGTTTAAATTCAATGTTGTTTAGAGGTTCAATCTGCTCTTGAAAAGTGTAATGATCTAGCCTTTTCAAATAAGGTATAATTAATTTAATTTCTACGAAGATATGAGTTAGAACCTAGATTTTTAAAAATCTCTTTTATTAACATTGGTGAAGAGGGGATATAGGAGACAGGGAAATGAGGTTCAATATAGGACACCCCTAAGTTGTATTTCACTGTATACCCTTTCCTGACTTTTGAGTGTCAATTATATGAGGCTATTACTGATTCAAAAAGTAAATAATTTTTAAAATATTAAGAAAATATTACAGTAACTTTAGTTCAAAGCCCCCCCTGAACTAGAGCTTGGTAATACAAAGCAACTTTATATTACTAACATTTTATCATTTTTTGAGTCATACATTTACTAGAGGGATGGCAAACTGGTGACCTGTAGGCTGTTACTTCTCTCTTTCCTTAAAAGATCAGCTTACAGAGTACAGTGCTCTTCCCATGGATCTTGACTTTCTTAACACTCTACTCCTTCAGTCTCCACCAATCAAAGATGGTCATAGAGGTGAAGACCATTTGCTTGCTATTCTTGGCTACCATGTGCTAGGCCCTGTGCTGGGAAGACGGAGAGGAAAGTTATCTAAATCTTTTTAGGCTTTATGATTCTATGACGAACTTGTTTCAGTTCACTCCTTTCCTTTCCCATATAAGACAGCCTGACTTACATCACAAAGAATACTTCCTGGGAACCGCTCTAATTCTTGAGCTTTTAGAGTGCTATCCAAAACCAACCTCTAAATTGGCAAAGTAAGCGGTCACCTTGAGAGGGCAATTAGAGATGGCTGAAATAATTGCCTACAGCCAAATATTTTTCCACATGCTTGTTACAGCCTGAAATTGTCACTACTGGAGTCATTTGTTTGGGTGAAGTCTACTGTGCCTTAAAAATGAATTGAAAATGCAAAGGTGCTGGATGAGTGCAAAGATTTATCTACAAAGATATTCATCACAGTATAGATGATAGTATTAAAAATTGGAACCATGTTCAATAAGAAATTAGTTAATTAAATTATAATATACTCATTAAATAGAGCTATCCAGCTATTTTAAATCTGGTAGGACCATAATGATATACCAAATAGTATATGAAAGTATAATTGATATATCAATTGAAAATTTGTCTCATGTCTGCATTAACATACAGAAGAAGAGTTAAAAATATGCAATATGGTGCAAAATGCTATTTTAAAATGTAATTACTATACTGATGAAAAAATCCTTCTCATTTATAAATCAACTATTTCATTAGTCTCATTTGAATTTCTGCATATACAATTGACCCTTGAACAATGCAGGAGTTAGGAGCGCGAGCCCTTGCACAGTCAAAAACCCACATATAACTTTTGATTCTTAGGAAACTTAACTACTAATAACACACAATTGACTAGAAGCCTTATCAATAGCATAAGCAGTCAATTAAAACATGTTTTTATATGTATCATATACTGTATTCTCACAATAAACTATGCTAGAAAAAAGAAAATGGTTTAAGAAAATCATAAGGAAGAAAAAATGCATTTACAGCACTGTACTGTATTTTTTTTTAAATGTAAAATAATCCATGTATAAGTGGACTCACACACAGTTCAAACCCATGTTGTTCAAGGGCCAACTGTATCTAAAAATGTAAGAGGAAAACTAAGTAATATATAAATCAGAATGATCTTCTATTAGTTGGACATTACTGTATATTGTGTTTTATTGTAACTTTGTCTCTAACTCTGTATTCTAAGATGGCTTTTATCTTGAGGCAACATGGAATGGGAATTATTAGTCTTAGAGTCAGATCGGTTTTCAAATTCTGGTTTCATGAACTCTTAGCAGTTGTGTGACTTTGAGGAAATTGCTTACTTCTCTGAGCTTTGGATTCCTCATCTTGTAAAACATGGATAATACCTAATTTCTGGGATGTTGATAACATCATGACTGCAAAGCCTTTAAAACATGCATCAGAATGCAAAACCCTGTAATAGACACTCAAATGATGTTAGCAAAAAACAGTATTTAGGGGCTTCTGGGTGGTTCAGTTGGTTAAGCATCTGCCTTCAGTTCAGGTCATGATCTGGGAGTCCTGGGATTGAGCCCTGTATTGGGCTCCCTGCTCAGTGGGGAGTCTGCTTCTCTCTCTCTTTCTCTCTCTGCCCCTAACCCCTGCTCATTCTCTCTCTCTCAAATAAAGGAATAAAATCTTTTTAAAAAACACAATATTTAGGTAAAGGTGATGTTAATGTTGAAAAACTTTTAAGAACTTTATATTTATGGTGGAAATAGGAAAGAAAATACTTGTAAAAAGTAATCACTGCTCTGGATAATTTTCTTTTTTTTTTTTTCTTTTTTAAAGACAGGAAGCCAATTGAGGTGCAAATGCATGCCTATTCTGATGCTTATGGTTATAAGAAATTATTATGATAAAAAACTTTCAGTTTTAAAAATAAAGAATTGCTTTAATTTTTAATTTAATTAATGCTTAATTTATTTAATGTTCTTTAATGTAGTGTTTATTACCTAAAACTTTGGAGTTAGATAGATGTGGTTCAGATCCCAGTTCTGACACTTCCTGGCTGTATAAACTCAACAAGGTCACTTTACCTCTATAAGGTTCAGCTTAGACATCTGCAAAACAGCCATCTCATAGATTGAAGTCATGATTAAATGTGCTTGGCATTTAGTAAATGTTCAGTAAATGGTAGTTGCTGCTATTATTATTATTATTATTATTAAATAGCAACTATAGTTACATAGCATGATAAGAAATGGAAGTAGAGCTAGTGATGTGGTTGACCCTAGGACAAAGTTTGAAAAGCAGCTGAGCTCTGATTTGTAGTTAATTCAGCATCATCTATACTTTGTTGAAATACATGTAGTCTTTAAAAAAAAAAATGTAGTCTCACGAAAGAACTGTGTTGCCTGTGGATCTTGGATACATTTTCTTTGTTTAGGCACCTGCCTGTCGCCACCTCCCTCACTGCCTTACTGGGCCAAGATCTACATGGTCTGCAGTTCTTAGCTGAGACATCGCTGTGGGATTTCTTCTTTGTTCTGGGTTGGGTACCTCTGCAATGTGATCCCAAACCTCTCTGTCCTTCTCTCCAAATACAGCAGTTACCACAACACATTAAATTTGCCTGTTTACTTTTCTGTCTACCTCAGTTTGTTTTTGTACACCACCATCTCTGTGCACACACAGCACATGGAATTGGATCAATCAATATCTGTTGAATTCTTTAGTTCATTAGAATTTCCTGCTAAATCAATTATTGTTTATCTTTTATTCTAATTACAGGATAAAGTAAGACAGATAAATAGAAATCATATTTGTAAAAAAAAAACCTAGAGAAAAAGGAAAAATATAAACTGGTAAAAACAGTAATCACTTCAAGGTGACTTTCAAATGAAAATTTATGATGGATAAAATAACTGGAATTATGCTTTTCTTTCATAGCATAAGTATCAAAGTACATCTAGTTATAATCAGAAACCTGGGTTTAAATCCCAGCTCCAACACTAAATAACTGTGTTATCTTGAGCAAGTCAGTTAATGTATCTGAGTCTCAATTATTCCCATCTTTCCAATGGGATAATAGCAATTCTCTTTTAAGAGGTTGTCAAATGAAAATGCATATATAAATTGTTAAGCTGATAAATATTACCTATAATAGGAAATTTTAAAATGTATCATTTTCTCTTTCAAGCATTAATGTAAAAACTATCTGTTGTAAAAATTTGTACTTTTAAAAAGCCCAAATGCTATTATGGCTAATGTAGCTTTTATGTATTCATCCAATAAATATCTATTGAGCACCTACTCTGTGCCAGGTACCATTCTAGGCACTATGGATTCAGCAGTGAACAAATGACAAAGTCCCTATCCTATGGAGTCGACATTCTGGTGGAGAAGACATAAGTGTTAAGAAGAAAAATAAATAAGACAAAG